TCACCTCGTCATTTGCGAACGCGATGAAAGACATGCAAAAAAATTCAGACACATCGTTAAGAAATGTTTGGATACAAATTTAAGCTATAAGTAAGTACTGTTTGTTTCATATCAGATTATTTTAACTTTAAATTTTCTAATTTTACTCAAATAACATGTCAAAAATATATAAATTTATTTTAGGAAGAAGTTTAAATTCAAAATTGTTTACAAATTTCTTAGGTATCGAAAATTTATGCCAAAAGTGGAGGTACCTAGAGTAAAAGAATCTGAAGGTGTGACGTTTAAGGATCTGTTGGAAGCTTGTAAGAATCAGTCTCTATAAACCCTTATTCCTCTTCATTATAATGCATTATTTTTTTGACAGTATTTAACCTGTAAAGACATTTTATTTTTCATTAGAAAAATTGTTTATAAAGATCTTGATCAACTTATATTTTTTTTTCTTTTCTGTAGCTTGTCCACAAGTATTACAAGGATCAGAATGAAGAGGATTTGGAAATCTAACCAAAGTGAAATCATTCTATCAGCACACAGTTAAAGCATAGTTATTTGAAAACCAAGTCTCATTTCCCTATCAGAGACTAGGATGAAAGACATTCATATAATTAGGGTGGAAAGACAAGTAAAATTTAAGTTTAATTACAAACTGCAAAAAAAAAAAAAAAAAAAAAAAATAAATAAATAAATAAATAATATCCTACCTGCATAAAAGAATCTTATCAGGAAAATACACAGGATAGCCTATATATATATATATATATTATATATATACACACACACACACACACACACACACTTAACAGAGACATCCCCTCTCCAGGATCCAATAAAACTATCAAATTGACCAAGGGAATTCAGAGCAGCATGGATCTATCCAGTTCTTATCTCAAATAACAACTTAAAAGAGACTGATTGACCAACACAAGGAATGTTAAAAGATTCACGTTAAGAGATAAATAAATGAAAAAAGTTCATTTTCTCTACAAACAAAATTTCTGTTTTCTGCTATCAAGAAGCATTTTCTTCTATATATATATATATATATATATATATATATATAAAACCAGTGTGTCAAGATTAATTCACATATATATATATATATATATATACACAATTAGTTGACATTCAATAATACCAGTACAGCAATATATTTACATTTTTTTTTTTTTTTTTAAAAAAGCAAATTTAGGCTTTATTAAATTAAGAAAAGAAACATTTTTCACTATTTACATTATTCAGACTATTGTCCTCATCTTTGTCACCATATTTATTACATTTCAGCCGTTGTACACTGGCCTTCTTCCAGTGGTTAGAATGTTGAATAGAACCCTTTATTTTGCTCACTGGGGTAGACTGTTCTAGTGCCATGTTTAATGGATGTCAGTTATCTCCTGTTAATTCCCCTCTCCAAGTTCTCCACTGCCTTAACCGGATATTGAACTCACACCCTTTGGGTCCTGTCACTGGATCTAACTAACGCCTTTATCCACTGTGCCATGTGTCCTTTAAACAGTCCATTAACATGTACAGTTAAGTCATTAACATTTAGAAAAGGCTAGAGAAATTTAAACAGATTTTTTACCATCCATCAGCAACATCTAATGTATGAAACTAGTCATTTTTCTTTATTGCCTGCTTCTGTGTATATCTACAGATCCCTTTAAAACTGTTCTTTTCCATTGTTGTCTATTGGGTAACAAAAGAGACATGACAAAAGAAACATAACGATTGGAAATAATCATTTGGCCCAAATCAGCAAAGTGAAGACAAATGCAAAAGTGGATAATATAGCATTTGATAATCAACTCAGCGAGTCTGACAATTGCTATTTGCTTGTTTGACAAAAGGTGGTTTTTGCATGATAATCAAAATGATTTTCTTCCCCAAATCAAATTTTTATCTTAAAAGATCTGCCTGTTGATTTGGTAGTGCTGTAATGGATTACTTCGTTACCTTGGAATGGCGATAGATTTCTAGCCAATTGAAGGATTAGAACACAGTAACCCTGGTTCACCGCATGAGAATGCCCAATGATTTGAAACTGGAAATAATTGAGAACAATGAGAAAAAAAAAACAAACTTTGGGAAACTAAGTGTCAAGAAGAATAAAGACTGGAATAAGAGCAATTCAAAAGCCATAAAAAGGAGTTTGGGGAAGGCTCCAGGAAGATTCAAACTTGATATAAGCCAGGACTAGATCTTTCCAGTTGCCTCCAGGACAGATTTAGTCCTCTGAAATGTCTGCAAATTCCAGGGAAGAAAATTCTTGCCACATCTATATGAAGCACTATTAAACTGTTTATATTGTTAACAAAAACAATATAAACAAGAGCTGAAGTAGAACAAAATCTCATGCTTAAAAAAAAAAAAAAAAAAAAAAAAAAAAAAGCAGTCAAGTTCTTTAATCAGATTTTTTTTTTTTTTAAATTTGTGCAGATTATTGGCAACACTACTAACTAATAAAAAGTTAGTTCAGTATTTACTTTTTATAAAATCCGTATCACCCTAAGCAAGGTAGTAATGCCACTAAAACAAGTGGGTTACAGGGTGTGGTGAGTTAGGAACAGAAACAATGAGCAGAAAGAGAAAAGAGTAATCAGGACAGTAGATAGCAATTGACATTGCATTTAAATTTGTTGGTTGGAAAGTGTGGAGCTAGAAGGAAGTTTCACAAGCAAGAAGTGCCAAAGAAACTTAGCATAGAATTTATGGCTACATCTAGCCCTAAGTTCAAAAGGCTAGGTACCATAGCAAAGAGGTCATCCGAACAATTACCGTGTGTGTATATATATATATATATATATATATATATATAAGGGGGGCAACCTTATGGCAGTGGGAAAATGACTGGAGCTGAGACATCAGATTAAGACCAATAATATTGCAGATTCTTTGAATCTTATCAAGGACCATACGTGGCAACAATATTCTAAAACTGGAGGAATGGTACAAAACATGCAAGAGATTCTGGAGAAAAATCTCGCCCAACAGTGAACTGATTTTCTTAACAGCTGACCTAGCAATAGACCGAATAGTCTTTCCACTTCATATCAGCAGAGAATGCAAGCCAAGGACACAATGAGTCACTTTCCTGGAGGTTAGCATCAGCCATGAAGGAAGGCGGAGAAGGGTCTCTCAGATGATTAATAGAGAGGAATTTAATTTTGGAGGTGTTAAAATAAACAAGCCATCTTTTGCCCCAGTTAACAATGGAGTTTGTTGTTTTGGACATCAGCTGACATTTTGTTGGACTGATAAGCCTCATTAAGGCAGGAGTAAATTGTTGTGCCAATATAAATATCAACTTTAGAGCTGAGGTCATCAGGAAGGTCATTAATGAAGATTAAAAACAGGGTAGGACCAAGGATGGAGCCCGGGGGACATGCACACACACACACATCTGCGTCAGTACAGAAGGATCAACACAAGTGGCCATTCAGGATAACTTTCATTTCATGATTTGATGGGAATGACTGGATCAGTTCAAAAATGTGTCCAGAAACACCATAACTTTTCAGCTTGTGGAGAAGAACTTTATGCCAAACTCTTTCAATATGTTCAATTCTACAGGCCAGGCTTCACCGTTTTTATCTAGAGAATACTCTTTTCGCAATTATTGTCAGTACATCAGTAGTTGACCTGGAGAAACAAAAGCCATATTGTTTGTCTGAGAAAAGGCTCTGCAATGAGAGATGAACTGATTTGGCATTGGGAAACTTGGACGTCCTCATCAAAGAGATAGAAGGCTAATAAGCCAATAGATGCAAAGGTCGGACAGCTCAGAGCTCTTAAGAACTGGAACAACAGATGACTTCTAGCAGGCAGGAAAGCAGGAGGCACTTATACAGTTTAGAGAGAACAGGATCCAGTTAAAAAAAAAAAAAAAAAAAAAAAAAAAAGAAAAAAAAGCACACTTAATGACTATTACAGGGATAGCATCAGGTCCCCCATGCCTTGTGGTGAAGAATCTAGATTAGAGATGATAGCAGAACCCATGGAAGGAGTTATATGCACATCACTCTACAGATTCAGTTCTAGGAGGGAAGTTAGAAAGGGATATTCCAGATGAGTCAAGTGTAGAGTTTGAGAATTTATGAGCAAAACATTCAGCTTTATCAGCAGAGGGTAATACATATTGATTGAAGGAGGAGGAATAGAGACCTTACACCTATTTAATGCCCTATCACAAGGCCACCAGTAATTGCAGGAACTAAAACTGTTAGGTTATGCAGTGCCTCATTCTCTCAGCAAACAAGGACTTTGCTCCTTTGAGGACTCTTACATTTATTGTGAGCAGCAACAAATAGGTACCTGTTGTAAGGAGAGCCGTCACACTGGTATAGGTGAAAAATAGCATCTCCTCTGTGCTATAGTGGCTGAGCGTGCTGGTATGAACCATGGAGAGAATCGAGGTTTCAGACATTTATGAGAAAGGATGAAAGCATCCATGTTGGCTTTGACCCAAGTAAAACCCTTAGTGGTGCAATTTTCAATTGGAAGTGTAAAGATTGAAGTCCAAGTGGCATCATGGACAAAATCACAGATTGAGTCCCAATAAGCATGCTGGTAACAGAAAGAGATCATTTGGCAAGGGGGTTCCGGTTTAATGGGGGGGTTGGAAGAAATGTCAATAGCTACCACAGAGTGATCAGAATTACCAAGAGGGCACTGTTGAAGTCTTAATGTTTGGATTTATTTTTTGTTTTCAAACTGAAAATGTTTGAAGAGAGTGATTACTTAAGAGAAACAAATATTAGCATTTAATATACATTTATTCAAAGTCAAATAGAAAATACATAAAACTAAGTTTATTTGCCATGTCAAGATGTTATTATCAACAATGAGTTCAGGAAGTGAAGGAATAAGTAAAGATGTTGAGATTTTTTATGCGTCCCCCACTCAATTACAAAAATTCTGGATTATCGTCCTTCACTCCAAGAAGAGAAATGGTCCCATGCATACATTACAAAAAGAGGCACCTGCCATTAAACATTTGTTCAGGAATCCTTTGCTTCGGTTTGTTCATTTGCTTTTGCATCAGATGATTCCGTCTGCAAATAAGAATTACTGAAATTCTAGCATTTTTATACTGTAGAGAAAAATATATTCAAACAAAACAGACATTCAAAGATAAAAAAATTAAATGGCATTTAAACTTCAAGGAGAGAACAGAAAATATTCTGTACAGTTACAAGGAGCCCGACAGGCAACTTTAATAAAAACTAAGCAATTAAGTTGCATTTAATAGTGTGAACTGGCTTATGTTGAGGTTGAAATCTTATGAAAACTTGGTAAGACATTTTCTTTAGAAAAAAAGGCTTTAAAAGCTCAAAATTAAATGATCCTAATTGTAGTTAAATGCCAAAGTTTAAGGTTTAAAATCAGCAAAGGAATTATCAGACTTTCAAAGATTTAAAAGCAAAATTTCAAGTCTAGAAAAGATTCGCTAAGCAAGCATTCAAATAAGAATCAGACAACAGATAAAGCTAAAGAGTTTAGCAGGACTAAGTGGTTGCATCTCATTGAATAGCAAGGCAAGAATCAGAAAGTTCCAATTATGGCAAGCACCCCCACCCTGATCTTACTCTGCATTCAGGAAACGCTAAAAATATTCAATTTGACAAATTAGTCCTTTTACAGCAAATGTCTGCATTACAATATTATAAGTTAAATAGCGAAAAAAAAAAAAAAAAAAAAAAAAAATTAGCAAGCATTAAGACATCAAACTGAGCTGCAAGTAATTTTGAAACTATTTGAAACAAATTAGCTTAACTATTAATCAAAAGGAGATTTCTAAAGATCATTTGTTGATAACCCTCATAATGAAGGGTTTAATAGATTTTATGGTTGAACAAATCATTTGTTGAATTAGATTTATACCAATCTGATTAAAATGCACATTTAACATTACATAACAAAATTAACAATCTATACAGAACCATCAACTGAAAGTTATTTCTCACCAAACATTCAAAATTAAGTAAATGCTACATTCAAATCTAGTTTTACTGTAGATTCTTTTAGGCTTCTAAGAAAAGGATCTACAAACAATTGTCTGGGCAAAAAGATAAATGAAATTTGTGTTATATAAAAAAAAAAAAAAATCACATTTAGACAAGGTACATAAAATGCTTGGCAAACAAATGGGAGGATAAAAATTAAGTTTAGATGAAATGAAATTGACCAGCCCATAAGAAGCCTGGCAATAACATTGAGCTACCTTAGTGTGTTGTGCAGATGACAGTGGGCCATTACTTGTATCTGTGTCTTGTGTTTTCGCTGACTGAGTATCTGTTGAGCTGCCAGACTCAGACTTCTGTTTTTTCTCTGCAGATTCATCAGTTGCTTCTTCAGGTTTACGCTGCCAACAGAGCGAGCCAGGAATTAATTAAGGAAGTTTAGGTGATAAAAGACTAACACAGCAGATATCACAATAGCATAATTTAAAATTGCCAACTATACGCGGAGAAGGGGAAAGTACCTCGTCCAAATGAGATGCCAGGCAAACACAAGTTAAATATGTTATGTAATTAGAAGAGAATTCAATTAGAGTTAAATATTCAACAAGTTAGATGTTAAGAAATTAGATTAGTTAACAGTTACTAAATTCAGAAATAGTAGACCAAGGAGAATTTACTGGAATGCTTGAAACATTTATCTAAAAGCCCATTTCAGAATACAGTACTAAGGAATTTTAGATATGTTTAGTTATAAAATTTTTAATAAATTAAGACATTGATTTCACCTATTATGATTACTCCAAAGAATTTTTTTTCAGTTGGTGATCTTACAAATTAACTTATTTTGTAAGCTCAGCACCAAGTGTTCCTGACTTGTATAACAAATTGGTAAACTTTCAGTGGAAGAGGGAAAAATAGTTGCATTTGCAGCATTCACAGAAGCAAAAAGAACATTTCAGATATTAACTTCAGAGTAAGAGCTTTGAAAACATTTTATGCATAGCAAGAAGCGGGTTGCCAACTGTAGCCATGTTAGCTATCCAAGAACAGCTATTTTTTTTTTCCCTCTTAAATAATTCAGAGGAACTTTTCAAGGCTCAATTCAAAACATGCAAACCATACATCAAGCAAGTAACTTGACCTTTAAATTGCATGCCATTAAATTTGCTACCCTTTAAAATGGTTACCAATCAAGCACTGAAAACCTCATAGGACCAAGAGTTCAGTTTCACATATAGCGAAAAGTTACCATCAGTCATATACAAGAAGAACAGATTAACTTACCTTTCTTCGTACCAAATGAGAAATATCTGTTGTCTTGACATCCTGAAACAGAAAGCCATTTTAATGTCAATATAAATGAGGTGTACTAACAGGGTTGGGAGAGAAGAGACACTGCTAAATGTTTATTCATTTTGCTAAGGTCATCCATTTTTAGTTGGTCAACTAAATTTGTAAAGGCTAACCTCAATAATTATATAAGAAAACTGAAAGAGGAACATGGCTTCCACATTCAGTAGAAAGTTGGATAAGTAACCAAATCAAAGAGTATATAGCATCTTGCTAGAAAGATGCTTTGCTCGTGTTTTTATTTATCAAATAGCATTAAATTTAACAGACTGCTTTTTAAAGTTAGTGACAAACCAGAGTTTATCAACCAGAAAAATCAAAATCATAGTTACAAGTATTTTAAATTCTTTAAGTCAGGCGTGTCAAATTTAGGGCATATGGAGGGCCATATCAGTCATGTCTGCAGCCTCGAGAGTCGCACTTACTTACAGTCTTACATTAAATCCCAGCTAGTGGTAACTTTAAAGACAAAATACTTACAACACAAGGTAATACAATTTAATCATTTTTATGTTGCCCTAATGATTGGCATTGATTTAAACTATTCCCAATATATCAGGTTGGAACGTCTGTAGATCCTGCTTTGATTAAAGATGACAAGTTAATCTGGTTCTGTGGGAGGACGTATATGGAACCAAACATCGCCATAATCTTTGTGGCAAACTTTCTCAAGTTCTTAAATGCCTGAGGAAGGTATGAAAATAATCTGGGTACCCCTACTTCTAGGTACTTTCCCTTGAGTGTTGCATCAGTCTGCATTTCCAGTAATTCCATCTGTAGACTTTCCTCTGCCTGAGCAACATCAGAAGTGAATGGTGCTAAGAATAATGCAAATGGATTTTCACAAGATGAAAAATCACAAAATCTTCACTGAAATTCCTTTGACAGCAATTCCAGGTAATTGCTGTACTTAGCAAAGATAAATACAGACTCAGTATTGGCAGTTTTTTTTCAACTCCTTGCACATAGGAAAATGAATCAAGTTTTCATGTGACAATTGGGACTTCAATAAAGCTAATTTTGCAATGAAACACTTGATATCACCATATAACTGAGTGACGAGCTTATTTTTACCTTGTAATTTCAAATTAAGGTAATTTAATTGGGCAGTAATATCCACTGAAAAAGCTAAATCTTGGAGCCAGCTTTAATCTTTCAGTTCATCTGTGCTTTGATCCCTTTATCTCAGATTTTTTTCAGGGAACTTCTGTATAGAATGGGACATTTGTGAACTGAGGATTCAGGTTTTCCAATAACTGGCTAAGCTGACAGTGATGCAGAGCACGATCTGATATAGTTCAGTTTTTGTGACAAAACTCAACACCTGATCTAATTTTAAAATCTTAGAACATAAGTTCTGTTGATCAATTATACAGTGAAAATGCTCGACTGTTTAATCTGGATATAGATTTTCTATTTTTGTACCTAACTTAGCAACACCACCATTATGTCTCCCAACAATATTGACAGCACCATCAGTAAATAAACACAAGCTTACTCAAATCAAGGCCATACTGATGGAGAAGCTGTTCAACTTTCTCAAAAATTTCCTGAAGCCCTGATGAAAATGGCCAGCTGTGCTATTCCACCTGTTGACAGCCTCATCCAGAGAAATAGAAAAAAAATGTTCAAAACTTGGTAATAAAGTCTAACTGTTGACTCAAATCACCTGCCATTTCATCAATTCATTCAGCAACATCGTTCCTTAATGAAATGTCTTGAAATAAATGACTTCTCTGGACATACAATTTCATGTTTTTACAAGACATTGCTTTACGAAATCTGCTTTACTTAAGATTTTCCACTGATGGCAATCATTCTGCAAAGTTCAAAGCAGAACTAACATTGCCTTTCTGAATTTTTGTAAAGCAACTGTTGTGGTGTTAACTTAACCTTGAATTCCTTCACTTTTGAAACATCTTCATATTTATAATATTGATGGTTCATTTTCTTTTCACATTCTTTTGACATTGCAATGCAGTGGTTGCAAATCAAAGTTCATCTTTCCATTAACATGGGTACAAAAGTACTGTAATTCCCAATTTTCTTGAAACACGTCTTTCAGAAAATTTTTATGGAGATGAGTAGAATGACATTAAGGCGAAATATTACAAAATTACAAACATTTTCCCTTTACATTTGATCTTATTTAGTTAATGATCACATGATTAACTAGAAATAAAAAATAGTTGCCGACATTCGAAAACAAAAAACCATTGAGATAGAATAAACAATTTAATATCAATTGAAAAAAACAAAAAAACAAACAAACTGTTTTTTAATAATTTGCATTACCAGACAAAATTCTCAATATACTATGGCTATAGAAAACTTTGCGAGGACTGCCAGTTTGACATCTGCTTTAAGTGCATAAAAACTAACCTGTGATTTACCAGCATCAGTACTGCTAAAACCAGTGGTTGTAGTGCCAAGACTTGTAATACCAGAAATATTACCCATTGCTTCAAATCCTGATGTTCCAGGTTTAGGAGTCTGTAACTACAAAAAGGTAAACATGAATTAAAATACATTTACCAGTCTGAAATCAAAATAATTCAAAGTCTTAAATGCTATTTTTCATATTTTAAACAAGATCTTGGTATCTACAAGGAAAAAAATATTCCCTGTCTGATGAGAAAAAGGAGTCAGTCCTTACTAAAAGAAAAAAAAAGTTTAAATAGTAATTCTTCCAGTGATTAGCCCTTATATATAAATATAAAAAAAACAAAAACAAACCAATTTCTCTTCTGCTTCTTTCTTTGCCATAAGTTTCAGATCTGCAACAGTTTTCTTCTCTTCAATCGTATCTGTAATCTGAAAGAAGATTAGAAGTGATTTCATTAAATCTACTTACAAAATAGATTTAAATACAATAAGACATAAAATTTTTTGAATTTACCTTTTGCTTGATGTCAGGGACAACTTCCTCTAATTCCTTAATTTCTGTTTTTGCATTGTAGACAGCTTCTACATCAGCAGTTTCTAGAATTACAAATAAGCATATTTTTGTAACTGATTAAAACTTATTCCAGAAATTGTTTAGACAATTGAAATGTTCACCTTTTTATTAAGTTCCCTTAACCCACTGGCAGACATCAAAATTTATTTACTCCCATAATTTATGCAATGAAGTAGTTCTGTCCATGAGACATGGAAAGTCAAATTTTTCCTTTGCACCATATCAAAAGAGAGACACACGCGTGATCCATGCAGCAGGAGTGTCAATGGCAGTAAATCAATCATGTAACTTTTGTGAGCTACTTTAAATACCCGAAGTGAGCTCAAATACAAATGCTAGATTGTAACTTTCAGCAACTTGGCATAATCATATCTCAACTGATTATGAAGAGGTGCTGTTCAAGAGGTTTCTTATTAGTGACATGTTTGTCTTTGTTGATACAGACATCATGTAGGGGCCCCCAATTTTCTGTTTCAAATTTTTCTTTGATTTTATAAAACAGTAATTAAAGTATAGTAACTGAATCTTTGTAACAAAAAGATCAAAAACAGACGTTAATACAAAATTTAAGTAAAACAACTTTAGCAATTTTAAATCTGAGAAGGAAGGAAGGTAGATAGAATTATTGTACCTGAAGATTGACAATATAGCTTAGGTAGAGAGAAGGGGGGGGGGAATCCCATTTTAAATACAAGATATATATATATATATATATATGAAACTGGGCCCCTCGACGTGATGTAATGGTTAGAAAGCTCGTCTTGCGAGATCAATTACGACTGAGTAGCGGGTTCAATCCTCACTGGGTGCCCCCATACTTTCGGCCTTGTGCCACATCTAAGCTGGGCTTAGAAAAATCACTATATATATATATATATATATATATATATATATGTATGTGAAACTGAAAATTGTTTGTAGTCAATATTTGTACTAATTTATCTTAGGATTAAAAAAAAACAAAAAAAACTTACTTACCTTTGCTATCTTTATTTGCTTCTATACTCTTGTTTAATTTTTCTGGAAAATAAAAAAAAAAAAAAAAAAAACTTTATTCAACGAATATCTTCAAGAGGAAAATTCAATAGACTTGATTGTGATTTTGTGTTACACATTATCAAGATGAGCTAATTTAAATCTATCAAATCCTATAGTGGAATATTTATTCAGAATTCAGTTTTGTAATTTTAATGTGCTCCTAATTGAACATTATATAGCTAATTCACTTGACAAAGTTTAGTAAGGTCATAATCTTAAAGCCACCCAGAGTTATAAAAAAAAAAAAAAAAACACTTACCAATTCTTGCTTCTATTACAGACACTGCTTTTTCAAAGTTCTCTATAGAAGAGTCATGATTTCCAGCAAAAACATGTACCAAACCCAGTTGGTAATAACTGATTGGAGAATTAAGAGAAAAATTGACTTGAAAAGAGATATTTAAAAGCACATAACATGAACTATAGATTTTGAGACAAGACTACTTTTTGTGTTAAATAACAAGTCATGAAATATGCAATCCTCTAGAAAGATACGGTTAGAGGATAAAGCTCCAAAACAGAATCAAGTTGTTTTGTGTAGAGTTCATTAGAAAATTTTTTCAAAAGGATACGACTCTGCTATTTCCCGTTCTTCAGGTTCCAAATATTCCTTTTGAATTTTAAGGCACTCTTTAATATCCTCAATGGCTTGATCATAAACACCTGATATGTATAAAAGCAAGATGCATTAAGGAATAACTGTCAAGCCCTTTTCAAGATCACTACCCATAAATTTCTAAGTAGTAACTTACCTGTTTCAAGACCTACTTCCCCCAATTTTAAAAAGGCCTGTGCTGCTTTCAACTGAGATTCTTTATCTTTTCTTCTACAAGAGGGAAGAAAAAAAGAAAAAAAAAAAAAAAAAAAAAAGTTAACTATCATGGAATTTTGAAAAGGATTTCAGTTTTAATAAAGACACTGCTTATAATAATTAACACAAGATGCTATTTTAGTGTTTTGCAATTAGATTTAATTTTGCTTAAAAAAAAAAAAAAAAAAAAAAAAAAAAAAAAAAAATACTTGAGGTAGATTATCTTTGCCAACTCTAAGCTTTCCCAAGCCAGTTGAAGATTTGTCACATCATTACCAGCAATCTGGAAAAATTAAAAATTCCGTTAAAATGTGCAATGATTTCAGAATGAAATCATTTTGAATTAAACAGATTTGACATGTAATGATAAATTGAATTGCTCACTTTTCAGTTAAGTCTGTTAAAAATAATTTTCAAATTCAGCAAAAATTGAAATGTAAAAAACAAAATCAAAATTACATGTTCATCAACATTTTCATTTTTATCATCATCAGCAGCATCATCTTTAACATTTTCATCTTTTTCAGTTTTTGCTTCCTTGTCAGTTCCTTCATCCTGTGAGGAAAGGGATTCAGACTTGTCAGTACGGTCTTCATCTTCAGTTGTACCAGGTGTTTCACCACCTATAAAGACAGAATTTACAGAGATACTAAAAAAATAAAATATGATTTAAGTTTTTGTTTAGCCTAAACTGTAGGCTACAAGAGTGCTCAAAAGGTTCATAGCCTAATACTGATTTTGGCAAATTGGTTGAACAGAACTTCACTTTGTATATTCCTTCATTAATTAACTTTCACCAGCTTAATTGGACAGAAACAGTACTTTTAGGGAAAAAAAACAAACTCATAGCCAAGCTAGTCTCAACATAAAACCTATTAAATATCCCTAAGCTATTCTAAATTATGCAAAATCCCCAGATTTTGCAGAAAAGGTTTTAATATACATCAGAGAAGGAAGACCTATTGAGTGTGAAGAGCAACTAGAGCTGGCTCAAAGTGCAAGTTAAAATGAATTATTTAGATACATTTTCCTTAAACTAAGCAAAATTACTTTTGTGAGGTTTCAGTTAAAAAAAAACAAAAAAACCCAAGTTATTCACTAGTTTGGCATATATCTTAAAAATCATTTCATAATGCTGCACAATTACCATTTTACGGATATAAAATCCAGAAATCTCTTCATAAAAATAGATGCGAGACTTATTCTAGTTAAACTTCAACAAAACAATGGTGTATTTCATAAGGTTTCAGTTAGATCTTACCTGATTTGCCATCTTCAGATTTTTCACTTTCATCCTCCTCATCTTCTTCAGCTTCAGCTAGAAGAAAAAATTTATTGTTAGCTATCAAAGCTTTAGTTAGGAGACAACGAAAACCTTTTGTGAACTCCACTTTTCAAGTAAAATCTAATATATTGTTAAAAAAAACAAAAAAAAACAAGATAAACAACAACATGCTACTTTTTAGATCTTTGGAGCTCAAATAAAAACTATAGGTGAAGGCATGAGAAGACCTCATGCTGAAGAACATCTGGACCACCAGTGAAGTCATGCAACTACAAAAATGCTCTATTTCAACTAGAGTCAAATCTGCTTTGTAACATGGAGAAGGACCAAAATTTTGCTGCAAAAATTGCAGACATTCAACATGTCAAACATTTAACATCAGGTCGCACGAGAACACAGCAAGATCCCATTACCAAGCAGATCTTGCAGAATAAGTTAGGTTGAGAGTACACTCTCGGGAAATCAAGCCCTGACTTCAAACCTGCAGAGGAAACGAGAAGATAGTAAAGTAACACTAAGAAGCCTGATACTGAAGACTAATCAAAAGCAATGAGGAGAGCTCACAAATAGAGTTCAATGTAGTATTAATGTCAATTGTGTTTAAAGAAAAAAAAATTTGAATTTGCTTACCTTCAAGGCTCTCAATTACTTTTGAGTCCATTCTAGCTAATTCCAACAAAGCATGTCCATAAGAAAAATAAGCAGGAGCACATTCAAAGGCCATCTCACCATAAGTCTGAGCACTGGAGAAAAAAAAAAAAAAAGTTATTTTTTTGTGTGTGTGTGTGTGTGTGTGTGTGTGTGTGTGTGTGTGTGTGTGTACGTGATTAAAGAAAAAATTAAATATGATAGATTAAAACTGCAGTCCACTAAGCCTATGGCAACTATGTAACCCTCAAAGCCTACCAGTAAATATACCCATCATAAACAGTTTCACTTTCCACAGAAGCATTAACTTTTGCAAGTCCTATCTTTTACAGTAGCAAAAGAATCAACACAAAAATACATTAAAAAGAGTGGCATGTAAAGCCATTTAAAAAAAAAAAAAAAAAAAAAAAAAAAAAACAAAACATTCATAGTTGTAAAGAGCAAGATCATTAAAAGACAAAATCAAAAGTGTGGAAGCAGGTCAGCAATTATAAATTGCCAGACTGAAAGGTTGATTGATCAGTTTCAACCCAACTAAACTCTTGGTTTTTTTTTTTTTTTAGTTACAAAATACAAGCTAGAATTACAAGCTTAGAGTAATGTTTCTGTAGCACTCACATATGGAATACACATTTTCCTACTAGGGACAAAGTTATAGAGCGAGTCACTGGCAGCAAATAGCCACAGAAGGCAGTTGGACAATATGATGAGGTGAGAAGAGCTAAACTGATGGCTCTTTAGTTTGACAAGACAGCCTGCATTCTTAGAGTGTTGTTTGAACACTCTCCGGCAAAAGAAATTTTGGGAGAGACTATGTTAGATATACTTTTTTGTAAAATATATCTAAAGTAAGTATACTCCAAAAATTTGCATACCTAAGGTTTAAATGTATTTTTCATAAAGGAAAAATCCTTTTCGAAGCTTTCCCCCAGCTTCACTTGAAAGCTAAAAGGATTAAATTTTCTAATTCCAGAAAAAAAAAAAAAAAAACTTTAATTGCCAAAAGTTTTGGTGGCATGATTTGTATTAAGCTTTTAATTTTCACTTAGTAAATATAGTCTTCACTTAAAATCTTAACCTACCTCATACTCTCCTTGGAAGAATTTTAAGATAAAAAAAAAAAAAAAAACTAAAAAAAACTAAAAGAAAAATGCAAACAATTCTTGTAAAAATTCTTTTTTCATTGAAATTTTTTTTTCTTCAGATAATGTCCTTAATGTATATTATTTATAAAATCAAATAAAAGCCCATCTATAATTTGATTGATAATTAGATCAGCTTTTATTGCAGTTTTTATTTTACTATTTGGAGCAAATTTTTAAAAAGCTGGCAGTAGTTATGAAAAAAGATTTCATTTCTCCAAGTTGCCCTTCTTATAAGTAAATATAAAACAATTTGCAAACTGTTTGAAATTCTAGAAAATTTCATAAAATTAAGTAGAGGAGGGGGAACTTTTTTTTTTTTTTTTTTTTTACACAAGATTTTCTAAAAATAAATTCATTCATTTTTGAACAAGTCCTGAAAGCTTTGTTAAAATTGGAGGATTTGAGTTTTGCAAGAATTCCCAAATTAAATGGGTTCCCCCCCTAGATATTGGTACATTAAAATGGCCATCACCACAAGTAGTACAAAGTTGAAGAAAAAAAAAAAAAAAAAAAAAAAAAAAATTTGGGGCCCGAATTTAGAACATGTTAGAAAGGAAAAAAATTTTTAATAATTAAAAAATACTTTGTTCTTAATAACCAACATTTTAACAATAAAACTTTGTTTTTAAGTTTTGGGCCGTTTATCACTATAATATACTGATTTTTAGCGAATTATTGGGAGGTACCTAAAAGTAGTCTGCCAAGTGACTCTCACAGTCTGCTTAATATACATTTGACTGTGCTTCTCGTTCCTGTAGTAAGTTAGGACAAAGCCAATAGGTTTCATTTAAAAGAGGTGAAAAAAATGCTGCACTTAAGTCATTTATAGTTTTCACTCTCCCTACCATAGAATAAAGAAATGTTTTTGGTGTCTATGATCCAGTAATAACCAAAGGTCCTGTGAAATAGAGCTTCATTATCCCGACTGGATAAGTCAGGACTTGCAAGTGAAAGTTCTGCATGTAGATGTCATTTAGCATTAACAAATGACTGGGATAATTTTTTTGCAACTATTGACTTTCTTCTGACCCCACTTCAATCCTACTGTTATTTATTTCATGTTGTATTTTTATTTTAAGTTGACTTTAGTGGGAGATGGTGGGAATATTGTCCCAATCTAGACTGCAGAGTTACTTGAATGACAGACATTCTGGTTTTGGTTCGACTAGGAAGAGTTTCAAAAGCAGAATGCAAAAAGGGGCAGAGATACGAGATACAACTTTCAAGTCACATTAGTTTTAATTAAGCTAGTTGGCTTAGGTTTGTTTGGGTCTCCAGATCTTTACACTACAGCAGATTCTGATTACTGGCATGTTTAGATTCAAACATGGATAGGTAATTCTGGCTACTGGACTTGTTAGATGAATAAATTAATTACTTACTAAGAATCTGGGTTTTTATATGAAGGATTGAAAAGTTCAAGCATGGTGGCAAAATTGCATGTAGAAGAGCTGCTGAATAAAAATGACTTACTACAAAAATAGTTAAAGAATTTCAAGATTAGATAACTAACAAAACCAGCAATAATTCACTTCATTGCTTCATTAAGATGAAATTGACATACATGTACAAGCAGATTTTAGCAAAGTTCCTGTTAAAATGAAAGCTGAGTGTCAGAGGTATTGATTGAATCATATCTGGATTGATACTTTCAACTGAAGCAGATTTAATGCTTATGTTCATTATGTCTCTTAACAAATAATGAAATTGCCAAGATTATCTGCAACAAATCAGTTTGGCAAATATGTTGCTACCATCTAGTAACTGTCATTTGAAATGCTGAACCATGCAAAATGCTTAGCATTTAGTATGAAAACACCACCCTTTGGCAAATTAGAGAATCTGTGGAAGATACAAGGCTCATGGTTTTGAAGGAAACTTTCTTTGAAGGGGAGAACTGAAATGTGCAACTGTCACATTTAATTCATTTCCTTTTTTTGCCAATTTATATAATACTGTTATAGAGTAGTTTCACCGTGGAGGCTTGTATTTCACTAAGTCGGTCCTAAAATAGGTTTGACATACAAAATGTTAGGAACTTGATATAATAGTTAATGACGCAGTAATCTAGTTGTGGTGGCTGATACTTTAATATCCGACTAATGGTCGTCCAACATCAAATGACTGACCAACTCACTTAGCGACTGCTACTACTCCTACTTATTATAGGTGGGAGAGTCTATTAAAAAAAAGAATAGGTGCGTTCCAGTATAACAAATACTAATAAAGATAAGGAGAAAAACAGTGTTCTATGTCAGTGGATATGGAGTTTTTATAATGGCACTCCCTGACTATTTAGGTAAAAGAAATAGATAAGATGTGACAAAGTGTTCCTGAGTTTGAAAATATAGTTGCAGTCAAGGCCAGTCAAAAGATCCTAAAATAAGTGTTTTAACAGTTGTAGATTACATGTGAACCAAATTTTTATCAAGAAGATATATTAGTGAAGAGGAGATTGCATCAAAGACTAGTTTATTGAATGGCTTTTTTTTTTTTTTTTTTAATTCTAAATGTTTTTAGGTACAGTAATATGATACTATTGTTTGAAGAGAAGAGGGGGCTATATTTCTTCATGCATATTGGTTGTTTTGCAAATTGTAATTTGGGAAGGGATCCAAAACTGGATGGCACAAGATCCATTCTTTCTTCCAATCAATTGATCAGTTGCTTTAAACAGCTGCTGAATGTGGAGATGGAAGGGTGTTATGTGATGAAAAGAGGGGGCAAACCTGAGGATAGATGATAAAACAATGAAAACAAGAGTGAAAAAGGGTTTCATAAACTTTTTTAATGAGAAGTACAAAATTACAGAAGGTATTTTTTTATACCTTCTGTAATTTGGAGTTACTTGATTCTTAAACACAATTTTGTAAAATTCTAGAAGTGAAGAATCGAGTCAGTTTTAGTACAATTGTATTTTTTTGCTATCTTGGTAGTTATGTCCTACATTGCAGAAAGTCTTAAAGAAAAAACAGGAACTGCAAGTAGACTTATGCTTATAATCAGAAAGATTGTAAGTCTAAGAGTTGGAATTTCTGGGTCACAAGAAAGTAGGCCTAGAGAATTTAACATACAGGATATTTCAACTAAGAGAAGGGGGGAGGGAACTAATCTACTTCATGAATGTGAACAGATGGCAGAATGAAGACAAATGATAAAAAAAGTTTGATAGAAAATGGTTTAGCACAAATGTCTTACTTACAGGAGTCAAGAGTATCTGTATCAAATAATAGAGGACTCATTACTGAGCAACTTTGTCTACGTTAAGAGATCATGATCCCCTCCGCTTAACAGATTGTAATAGGGTAAGTTTAATCCAGATAACACAAAATGTTTGACATCAAATGAGAAAACACACTCACAGCAAATGTTTAAGCAACAATTTTCAGTCAAAACTTACAGAATCTGACAACATTCTTCAAACTGAGTTACAGCCATTGGAACATCTCCACAAATTAAGTTCCTCCTGCCCTGTCCCATCAAATTCACAGCTTTGGACATTATTTCAACTCTGAAATTGAAATGAAGTTATAATTTAAAGAAAAACAAAAAACTACACTAGTATAAAAAGAGAGTTAAATTTAACACTAAGGGGCGATTGATTGAGGTTTGTAAATTGTTAAAACAAAAAAGGTGAACATTTTAAATCAGAAGATGTATAATTCTGCAAGATGGAATTGCGATAAAAAACAAAACAATCTTCAGATATGTAACGCAGATACGTCAAATTTCCTGCTTAAAAAGTTCAGAAAATTGACAGCAACTTCTTCCGCGGAATTACAAATTCACTATGGTCTCTAGTTTCAGAAAGCCGTTTCCCATTGCGCTAAAAATCCCTAGTGTCACAAAATGGCCAAGGGCAACTGAATTTTTGTTACAAAGCCTATGAACAGATGAGATTCCCCATTTTAAACAACCTTGTGCCATATTCCATTTGAGAGGTTGTGCGGATAAATCTGTACTACCTTAGCTTCTTCAGAGTTTTACATCGCGAAATGCTAGTTTTTCGTTCACTGGATAAAGTCAAACAACAGTTTAGATTGAAATCTGTCAAGTCGAAAATTAATCAAAATAGAATGGTCACTGAATTATGTAAGTGTTTTAGTACAATAACCATTTTAATGATAAGTCTTAAGAATAGCCTTGCAATTGTAAAAACAGGTTATTGCTTTTAGTTTTTTAGTCTAGAAACAAGAACAAAAAAATTTCAACGACGAGGATGAGCGTGAAAAAGCTTAAATGCGAGAAATTAAACTAAAAAAAATAATTGCAAAAATCAAATGAAAGCAAATGTAACTTAGTTACATTTCCTTTCATTTTTGCAATTATTTTTTTAGTCTAATTTACACTACACAGTAACTAAAATTTGAAAAATAAAAAACTTAGAATTATTCTGTAAAACAAAGAATTCAAATAGCTACAGAAGTATTACAAGATCGTAAGCATGCAAGTTTTAAAGACGATGCGTCAATACAATAATTAGGGATTTTAATTTCCGAGTAAAAGTTATTTTGAATTCATCATGTACGCAATACAAAGATTCATAATCAGTTTTGAGCGGGAAAGGGAGAGAATAAGTTTTTTCGCAAGAGGAAGGACGGTATCTCTTTAAATGCTACTTTTGTGCACTGCCGCCAAAAATGGATAAATCAGCTATAAAACTAAAAGTATAACTTGAATAGGATAACGAACAAGAAATCAACAGCAGATTAGCCTTAATCTGATAGTTATAGCTCGCTATTAATTTTGGAAAGTTATGACGAAGTCTATGAAAGATAACTTAAGTTAACTTAAAAGTAGTACCGAATTTTAATTTACTTTTTTTGTTTAATAGTGGGGTGAAATGAGAGAGTAACACTTAGGTAAAACCTCTTAAAAGTATTACTTTATTTTGTCAGTGTTAGCATGTTATTTTTGGACTCAAACTAGCGAGTGATATTTAAGTACTGAACAGAATACTGATCGAGAATAATAATTTTTCAGAACGGTGGTAACAAATTGAAAACTAGGGTAAAAATGAAAACACAAAAGTTGTAAAATTATGATTAAGGCCTCCGTTATAACCACGCAGGACACGTGCACAGGTAAATAAAATGTCAAGGTAAGGGAGAGAAGCAAAAAAAAAAAAAAAAATAAAGACTGAAGAACTCCTTTGTTACTCTTTCTTTCATTCACCATTAAATTTTCCGTATGTCATAAACAAACTATTCGGTATTACACTTTTTTTCATCCTTACCTTTCCTTACTGGGAGAAGCTGTTGAAGTTGAGCTTGATGGTTCTGCAGTTGTAGACATTTTTTGCCAGATTAAAAATTCGAAGAAAAGCCTTAGAACCGTGGGGGCTAATCTGTTTTGCTTAGCTTTGTTTTTGTTTTGTTTTTATCTTATTTTTTTTTTTAATCTCAGACACTATTCAACACGTTTTCGCGCCAATATATAGTGACGTAGTTGATGAGAGTTAAACGTAAGTGAGGGAGAAGGAGGAGTGGAATTTATAGATATTCTCAAACCCAAAATTTGCTTCCCCCTCATCCTCCCATTATAAACATTTATTTTGTTTTCGCTAGTCTAAACTTTTGCATTCCATTCTTCAGCTGCAACAACAATAACAAAAAAAAATAATAATCTAAATTAACACTTTCACTTTAATCAATAAGTAATTTGTTGTCATACGCTCATTTAATCTATTAAAAATAATAATAAAAATTTGTATTTAATGTTATTTTGTGCTATATAGATTTTCCGGGCGTTTTGGTTAGGGGATATTAGGCATTAAGTTTTGACGTCACATTCTTTTGGACGCCTCGTTTGTACAAACCTCGTGGGGTTTGCAATTTGCTGGTGGATATTCTAGGTGAGCATAAATCATTCAAAAAAGTATTAACATAATTTTAAGTACAGTTTATGATTATTTGTGTATATAGAAATAGCTAGATTGGTAGGTTTTGCTTGGAAATGTAATCCAAATTTTAGATTTTCAGCGTCATTAGTGTGGTCACGTGTGTCTAGCCTTTTTAGTTAAGAAGAGTGAAAAGGGAGAAGAGCGAGCAGGACGACGATTTATTGCTTCATGAAATCGTTTTGTTGAAAACAGCCTACGAAAGTAGTAAGAGCGTATAAGAGTTTATTATTTTAACAAAATAAATAAAAATCAATCGCTTAATATATGTCTTGATCATAGCTGAACTTTATTTTACTTGGTCCATCGTCCAAAAATAACTTTTCTCAACCATCTTTACCTACCCAAAGTCTCACCACCTTTCCTTTTAACTTAGCATTTTTTACACAATATGGACTCTGTGTAGGTTCTCTGTCATTTTATTTCATTTCATTTTATTTTGTTATTTGTAATTTTATAAGTATTCATGTTGGCTTTCGAAAGTACAACAGACTTGGGTATCATCCATTTTCTCCTTAGTTTTGCATTTATTGTTAGCAATCTTAGTCACTACTACATGCTTCTGTATTTTTTGAATGTCCTTCGAACACTTCAACTTGTGTTTTTCCTTTTTTCTTTGTGTGATAATTTTATTTCAATTCTTTATGCGAGTTCGTTTTTTTTGTTTTTTTTTTAATCCATCGCAAACTTGAGTTATTTGTAAATGTATTACCACTTTTTAATATAAAATTTGAACAGAATTGTAAGTTTTTCAGCAATAGAATATTTAATTTTATAGTTGATGGTAAAACTTATAACTTCCTATTTTAAAACCTTTTCACAATCCATTTGAATTTATAAGTTCTAAAATTGACAATTACATTTTTTTTTTTTTTCGATATAGGTCATTAAATCGTTTCATTATATTCACTTCATACTCAATTTTTATCGATCGTCTACTTAAGTCTTAAAGTGTTACTATTTCATTTTGAGACTTTTTAACCAGATCTCTTAAACTTTTAAGTTAAAAGTTGTAAAAAAATAGATAATTACATCATTCTGTTCACCTCCATAATATTTTATCTCTATTGTAGAATATAGTGGTATATCCGTTTATTAACCTTTTTGCATTTCCTTTTTTGACATGGAGTTTCTCATTTCATGAGTGTGCACCCCTTCCAAAGGTTTGGCTTGATCGTTACTTGGTGGCTCGCGCCTGCCTTTAAATTTACTATTCGTAATAAGTAGCATTTTTTTTCTTTTTGGATTAGGTTCATTTTTCACATTTTTCCTGTTTTATATATTATATATATATATATATATATATATATATATATATATAAAACGATGCGATATAAATTTTACATTTAAGAATGGAAACTACATTCGGTTCACTCATTTTACAGTTAAAGTTTTAGTTTATTGAAATGAGTTGATCAGCAGAACCTTTTAAATTAATTTAATGTAAAACTCTTTTTTTTTTCTTTTTTTTTTTTTTTCGTGTTTACTTATGAAGAATCGGATTCTCTAAAAATTCATAAAGGAGTGCTGAAAATTTGGACCAAGCAAGAACGGATTAAAAAAAGTTCTGATGCTTGTTCGTGTGGTCTGATTGTGTATCTGGTTGAAAACTAGTAAATAAAGGTCTATTTAAGAATTCAATGATTTTTTTCAATACTTTTACTATAATTTATTTTCACTGATACCTTACTTCAGTTTATTTCTTTTTTTATTTTCGTAAAACTATATAAAAAAAAAAAAAAAAAAATGGAAATAAAACACGCATGATCCCGGTGTGAGCAGGCCTTTTCTTTTCTGCTAATAAAGTTTTTTTTTTTTTTTTTTTTTTTCTAGTACTTTAGATAATTACACTAACAGTACAGATCAGTGGTTCCATAGTCGTTCTTTAAGTTAGAATCTGTTAAATCAGTGCAGATGTCATTGTTATCACTTTTATTAATGTGATCACTTGAATTCGTGGTGTGGTACTTGTTCCCGGATTTTATTGTCAAATGTACTAAGAATAGCTTTTCATAAAATCTTTAACAATTTTTTATGGCTGTATTTTTGTTTTGCATCAGTTTAAAAAAAGTGTTTTAAATGCTTTTATTTCTGCAAATGTTATATTTATTTATCTTAAGAATTATAAATATTTGTCAAAAAAATGTAATTTTTTGTGTTTTTGTAAGCTTGTTAAAAAAAAAAAAATAAATGAATTATTAAACACACGATTAAACTGACAGTGAAAGGGCTGCAAATTTACCTTGCTGATATTTTAAGTTCATAGACTTTAACATGTACTCTTGAAATTGATTTTTAAAATGTCAAACGGTATACTCGTGTATTTTTCCCAAATATATTTGTTTCATTGTGCTGGCCTATAAGATCTTTTTTTTTAAGAATCCTTAATTTATATTGTCTGAGCAATTGCAAAAGGAACTGTTTTTCTTGTGAATACTGTTAATGTAATGATAATGTGAAGTTAAAGCATTTTGTGTTTGAGTTTCAGATGAAACTAAATGGATTCATGAATATTAAAATTACCTAAATATATGTATTAGGTTCAAGTGTAGTTATAGTCTTTATTTCTATTGCAAAAACAGATGTTCAGATGTAATGTAATTTTTATCTAACGGTTTGTAATGGGGGGGAGCAAAGACTTTAAATTGTTTGAACTGATGTGGTAACTGCTGAAATTTTTTCTGGTATGTCTCTGCACGAAGTTACTGTACTTGAAGGACTAATCAATGGTTCTCTGTAAATTGAGCTTGTAGCTTTTCAGCCATGAATATTCTAAACTTTGTCACAAAAGTGGTTAGCATTTGTTTCCATATGCCAGCTGTTTGCATAAAAATTGTAAAAGTGACTAAAGATTTTTTTCTTTTTTAATATTTGAAATGGGTGTAACTTTCATTTAGTTTGCAGGATATGATTTAATACTAATTTATGAATAAATTGTGAGTAATAGCATTATGAGGCAAAAATTCAGACTTAAATAGATGTTTATAGATTCTAAATATGTTAAGTGATTTTAATTACAAGAAATACTCTGACAAGCTTTTTGCAGATGGTAGGTAATGACAACTGAAGATAATTTCATAGTATGGCTGTCCAAACTTGACCCGAGATTTCAAATGTCATCAGATAATTATCTAAAATGGTGTGAATCATTCAAATGATGTCAAATGATCCTACTGACAAGCTGTGAATATCTAATGGGAAATGATTTTATTGCATGGCAGGGCCTTTACACATGCTAAAGTCTTAATAAAAAATCTATTAGGAGGTTATGATATTGGTGAATTTCTTTTTCTCAAAACCCTCTAATAAATTTTAGAGAAGAAACGGCAAAAAATTATTTTTCAATGAAAGAATATTTAATAGATTTAATTAATACAATGCTATAAGTTTATATGTATATAATATATATATATATATATATATATATATATATATATATATATGACAAAAAAATCAGAAATTTACTCATTTTGGTTTCAATTTTTTTTTTTCTGAGAATTCTTTTAAAATGTGAAATTTATTTGATTAAATATTTTAGCCAAAATTCTGTGAGGGATGGTAGTTTTCATATTTCTGCTAATCTTTTTCTATTTCTTAAGAAGAATTAATGCAACACATAGAGAAAGTTTAAAATTTGAATAATTAGCTAAATTTCTATGCATTTTCTAAAAATACAGGTGACAAACCATTTTAATAAAATAATATTCAATTTACTTTCTCATTTTTATAAAGTTTTTCAAAATTGAATTAATTTTTATGTAATTTAAATGGCTTTTTCTTCAGGTCTCAATCTTGAATCTGCTACCACCTATGCAATATTAATGTGCTTGTTTGTAAAGTTTTTCTAGTAAAATGTTGTCTTATATTTGAGCTTTATGGTATTTATCCATAAGCATGTCTTTCTTTTTTCTTTTATTAGGTTTTTATCTTGCTTTTCAGTAACCTTCAAAGATGAATGCTGAGAAGCTTAAACAACTTCAGAACCAAGTAAAAGACATTCGTATTGGTGGCAAGGTGAGCATGGTAACCTAGATACAGATTATTTAGTAGCATTTAAATATTAGTTCTAATCAGTTAAAAAGATCATGTACTTGGTATAGTAGACCCATTACAGGAATTATTTTTTTTAAACTATTGGTAATTTTTTTTTTTTCATTTAAACATATTTGCATAAAGGAAAACTTTTGCAATTAGCATATATGGCTCTTGCATTTTAAAGATGTGTAGGTGTTTTATTACTTAACTAATCATAGAATTAGTTTCTTAATGTTAAAGTCAGAACTCTTTACCTGCATTTTACTGGCATGTTTGGTAAAGTCAGTTTCATGCTTCTGGCTATATTGACTTTCCAGTTTCTATTAGGAAAGTATAATAATTTAGTTTGGCTTGAACACTTAATCTCAGTTTTGTGAACTATTGAAGTTAATTTTGTTCGTTGTCAGGGAACCGCCAGGAGAAAAAAGAAGGTTGTCCACCGTACTGCCACCACTGATGATAAGAAGCTTCAGAGTTCCCTTAAAAAATTAACTGTGAGCAATATCTCTGGAATTGAAGAGGTTGGTTTTCTGAATCTTTTATTTGAATTTAAAATTAATCAATTTTGATATTGAATAAATCACTGAAATCATAGTGATCTAGTCTGTTACTTGTGTGTGGTTAATTAGTGTGACTATATTCACAGAAGTTGTTTATCTTTTTAGCATTTAAAGTTCAATTTGTTTGTGTTGGAAGGTTTTTTCTTTTTGTATTTTCTATTTCAGGTCAGAGCTGCTTTTAATTGAAACTTTCAAATTAAATTACACAAAGAAATAAAACCATTCAGATTTTTTTTTATCTCTAGCCTTATTTCAAATGATGTTTAATTATATGGCTGAAATTTACTTGCTGGCTTATTTCTCTCACTTTTTCTTTTAATTTCTGTCTTTGTGCAGTTTTCATCCAAGTGTCTTAACTTAGTAAGATAGTCCTTTGCATATGTAATTAGTGTAAATTTTTAGAAAACTTTCATAAGTTGGAATATTTTTTTCTCTCTATTCAAAACTTGCATCTTTTCTGTATTTAATTTTTTTTCTATTTACATTATTCAGATTGTTATCCCCTTCTTCATTGCCATATTCACAACAGTTCAGCTGTTGTATGCTCTGGCCTTCTTAGGTGATTGGAATTTCAAACCATACTCTTTGTCATCCACTGGAGTGGATTGTTCTTGTTCCATGTGCCATGCCTCTTTCAGATGTCTCAATTATTTCTCTTTAACTGAACTCTCCAAGTTTTGGTTCAGCTCTGCTGTGGCCTGATATTGAACTCCCAACTCTTTGGGTCTAGTCACTGGATCAACTAACTCCTTTATCCACTGGGCCATGTGAACTCGAGAACTAGAACAGTCTATCCTGGTTGATGTAATAAAGGGTTAGGGTCGAAATTCCAATCACCTGAAGAAGGCCAGAGCATACAAAGGCTGAAACATGAATATGACGATGAGGATAACAGTCCAAATGATACAAATAATCATAATACCTCATCTTAGAGATATAGACAGGTATTAAATTTTTCTGTAATATTTTTGTTAGTGCTAGCATTTTCTCATCAGTGCAAATGAGAATAGAATTAAAAAAAAAAAAAAAAATCCCAGCATCAGCTTTGAAATCCTTTAAAAGAAGAAAAAATTTTAAAATAACTATATGACTTGGGCTTCTATGTTTATGTAGTTACATAATTATTTTCACAATTTATTTAACAGGTAAACATGATCAAAGAAGATGGCCAAGTCATTCATTTCAATAATCCTAAAGTTCAAGCTTCTTTGACAGCTAATACTTTTGCTATTACTGGCCATGCAGAAACAAAGCGTAAGTACAACCCTTTTATATTACCTTTTATCTTAGTTGTAAATTGTTACCTGTGGGCAGGTATTGAAAAGTTTTTGACTTGGCTTACTTTTCAAAATCTGACAGTGACCAAATATCAGAAACTTTTCAACAATTCTTGATATTAACCATCTTAACATAGTGCATGTACATTTTGAAAAAAATATATTTTGTTATTCAGTTCAGTGTTGATTTATGGTTGCCAGTTTTGATGTTATACATTCTTGTAATATTAGTTACTTGGTAAGTTTTTGCTAATCGTTTGATTTTTGTATTCTCTTGAAATGATTTGCATAGGTTTGTTTCCTATTTATACTTTATCTTTTATAGAAATAGCTGAGATGCTACCTGGCATTTTAAACCAGCTTGGAGCTGAAAGTTTGAATAGTCTGAAGAAGCTAGCTAACAGTGTTACTGGAGGTAAGTTAGAGCATTTTATGTTTGAAATTTTCAAGATTAATGTAGTTCATTGTTTGTTTATAATTTGTGACACTTGCAAAATATTTTACTATTGTGTATTTAAATAGAATAAACTGCCTGTAAAATGTGACATTAATAATTTAAAGATTCTTTTCATCTGATTTCATTTACAGCCCCATGTTGGGTGTATTCCATGAAGAAAAATTTCAAAGCCACAGCAAATATATAATGAGGTCCAATTGTTTGAAAATGGGCATATTATTGATATTTTTAGTTTCTTTACTCATGTGATGAAAAGCTATGTAAATTTACAAGTGTTTCTGATAACCAAAATTAACAAAATCCAATATTAATTTTCCCACAATGGCAAAAGTATGTTCCTGACATTATCATGTAGTTGATTTGACTCCCCCCCAAAGTTATAATTTAGTATAATTGAAAACAATTTTGTTTTAGTTTTTATTTTATATTTGGGAATCGAATAACATGCAATTAAATATAAAAATGGCAAATACATTTTTTTTTTTTTTTTTTCTTAAACTCTACTTCATATTGTAGCTGGTGGAGATTCTGGTAAACCTTCAACAGAAGACATTGATGCAGATGATGATGAAGTTCCAGGTAATTTGTTCTCATAATTCTTTGATTTTAAATATTATTACTTATGTTTAAAAAAACCCAAAAAAGACTTAGTGTTTGTTAATAGTAGTGATATTATATATTTATCAATGTGCAGGGCCACAGCCACTGAAAGAGAAGGGGCCTGTTCGATAGTGACGTGACATCACAAAAGTAGTCCAGGCAGTAATCATAATGTAATGAATAATTGTAAGAAAAGAAAATGATTTTAGAAAACTTTTTAAAGATACATTTATAAAAGAAACAGAATTGGATTTTATACAGAACTTTATTTCATTAATTTTTTAAAAATAACCGATTAAGAAAAAATTGTTGCTGAATCTAGTGACTCTCAAGAAGTAGTCAATGAAGATAAATATGAGACACTTTGGGAAGATATATTTTTTGTAGTTTAACAGCAATTGCGACAACTGTTTTCTCATCAAAAGCTGACTATTCTCTCCTAATGTCCTCCAGTCGAAAATGTAGTTCACATACCTAAAAAGATTTTAAAAACCAAACCTATTTTAAATTCTTGTGAAAATCTAAGAAAATCAATCAGCAAAAATCTACAGTATGAAGCATTTTTCTAATAATTTTAGGAAAAGTGAAGAGAATTCAACAAAAGATTATTAGTAATGAAATACAAATAAGAGAATTTTTAATGTTTATTCATATATTTTTTTTTAAATTAAAATGATAACATTTTTATGAATATAACAATTCTAAATTATCAGATTTATTTTTTATGCCTATAAAAAGATTCCTTTATGAATTATATAAAAAATTTCTTTAAAGTTTTTTTTTTTTTTTTTTTAAATTAGATTTCAGCTTTAAAAAGAAAGTTGCAAAAGTTTTTAAATGTGTTTTGTGAATTATAAAGATGTGAAATTACTTTAATCCTCAAAGTTTCGATTGAATTTAATAACTTTTTAAAACAAAACTGGTTTTAAAATGTGTTGTGAATTAGACATGAAATTAATTCAATTAGATTTGTTTAGTCACAAAAAAAACAATTCCAAAAAATCGTTAAAATTATTAGAATTATTTTTTATGTATATGAAATATTCCTTTATGAATTCATGAAATTTATATTGAAAATTTCTTTAAATTTCATTTTAAAAAAAATGAGGTTTTAGCTTTTAAAAATGGCACTTGCGATAATGAATGTCTAAACTTTCTCACTAGATTTATGTCTTAACTTTATGAATTACAAAGACATGGTATTAATTTTATTATTAAAGTTTCAATAAAATTTACTCATTTTAATACAAAAAATACTCCCTCTGCTGAATTTAGTAGGTGAAAAATGATCTCTTCTGATTGTACAAATCCAAACATCAAATAATTCTTTCTTTAGGAAAAGAAAATACATGTACTTTGGGGGCATTTTTATAATTCCCATTGCAATTTGGTACAATGCATCTATAAGGCATTGTTTTTGTTTTTTTTAAATTAATTCAATATTTAAAAGAAAATATTAATAAATAATTTAAAAAATCTGATACACAAAACAAATGACAAGCTTCTTGAAAGTCAGACTGAATATGATCATATCACGTTTTTTTCCCCTCTCCAAATGAAACAATACTTCTCTTTTTTGGTGGCCACGGCAGAGCTAAGTACAGTTGATTACTTTCAACAATTAATTTTTGATTTCTTTTCTGTCTTGAAGTTTTAGTAGGAATAATTTCTATTAATTTTTTTTTATACTTACATGATAATGCCATTTTTCAATGAAAGTTGTACAAAAATAATTGTAGAGCATGAAGATTGACAGTGATATAAAGGCCTGTAATTAGAATGTTTTTCTTTTGGGTGAAGGGGTACTTTTTTAGTTTCATGGCAATAGGATACATCTAGTTTCAAATTGGTTTTGATTGCATCAATCAATATAAAACATTTGTAAAGTATCCGGTTGGATAGACTTTTTCTTTATGTATTACAATCAATTGTATGCTTTGTTCACTTGATTTGAACATTCGTGAAAGCAAAGCAGGTAAAGATTAGCAACTTTTATCATCAAGTTTCCTCATGTTTCATTGTTTCAAACTTGGCATTGTCAGTAATGACTTATGGTGGTAACTGTTTGATTTTATGTCTACTCTTTAGTTACTGAAACTTTCAGTACTTGTGATCCTCAACATGTTATTAAATATCCTTTTATTTACAGATCTTGTTGAAAATTTTGATGAACCATCCAGAGGTGAAGGTGTTTGAGTGACTTATTTAAAAAAAAAAAAAAAAAAAAAAAATTAAAAAAAAAATAAAACTGATAAATAAATTTTTGGGTTTTCACTTTTCTATTTCTTATTTTATTTTTTTCTGGGTGGATGGGAATATTTCATAGACTGTTTTCTGCTCTAATTTTTCTTTGATAGTAAGAACTTGCACCCCCCCTTTTTTTTTCTTTCCTTTTTTTTTTTTTTTTATACACACAGTAAACTCATTCTGTCATGTTTTCCTTTTGTGATTTAACAGAATGAGATTTAACAATTACTTAATATTGCATTTTTTATCTGTCTTTATTTTCCTTTTTTTTTTTTTTTTTTTTTTTTCCCCCTTACCATCAAGATAAACTCTTAATTTAAAAAAAAAATTCCTATTTCCACATTTTTTTTCTTTTTAAATGTATATGTACATACAACAAACACGAAAATAAACTGAACTCTTTTCGGAATTTGTGCTTTTGCTTTTGTTTTGACCTGTCCATGACTTTTGAAGCTTCAAATAGTATACTGCTAGTAAATTTAATGCGTCTTTCAACTTGATTTTTTTTTTTTTTTTTTAACTGACAATTGTAATTCTGAAAGCTTACTACTTAACTAAGCCATTGATTAGAATATTGTAGACACAAAAATAATTTAAAATAAGTACCGACTCCTACTTGCTTCAATTTTTTTTTTTTTTTTTTTTTTAAGTAAAGTTTGAAGACTATCAAATCTGAGATGATAAAAAGCTTAACGCAAACTCTAAAATATAACAATTACCTGCTGAGTTATGCTTATATTAGGATGACAAAACTGTTAATACTGCCCAATTTTCAGGGCAGTATTTTTTAATTTCAAGTTAATATTTTTCACCATAGCAAATCTTAAATTTCAGTCTGGAAAACGTCACAAGCTTATAAATCTTACAATTTATAATCTTGTAACTTTTTATAAATTCCCAATCATGTTTAAGTTACAATTTAGAAATAAAATTATGAATATATGAATATGCATTTTTGGCAGATATTTATTAAGCTGAAATTTGGGAGTAGGGAGATTTTTTTTTTTTTTTTTTTTTTTGCTTCTCAACCATGTGAAGAAAACCTGCTTTTACCTGGTCTCTAATACTGGTCAGTGGGGAATAATGCCCTCAAGACACAGGCCTGCTATTAAAATTTAAATGTGAAATCTTCAGTTTTGAAGACAGAATTCTGTATTAACATTTATCAATAATTGTAGATTAAATATATTGAGGCTTGGTCATTGTTGGAGGCTTTTGGGATGGTCATTAATGAGCACCTGGAGAATATGACCACCAGTCTCTTTGGATGCAAAATGGGAGTGACATCACTCAGTGAGGAAGCTGTTTTGATCCAAATTGCAAATTAAAGTCTCTCTCTCTTTTTTTTTTTTTTTTTTTTTTTTTTTTTTTTTTTTTTTTAAAAGGCTGCATTTAGTTTTGATATGGAAAACCATCTTATAGTGCCCTCATATCTTTCAGTCTGCTTAGTTATGCTTGCTGTAGATACTGAGGTTAACCTGTTAGCATTCAACGCACTCAAACCCGCTCTATAAGTATTGGCTTTGAATCTCACTTTTTTCATGATTTCGTATACCATTACAAAGGTGGGTTGAGAACCAAAATTTTTTTATAAACAGTAGAATTGAAGGTACTTGACATAAATTTTCATTTACAATGTATTTCAATATCTGATTTAAAAAGAAAAATTATTTCTTTATAAAACTTAAATTAGTGGGGATTAAAAATAGATTTAAACTATTCAGAATTAGTGTGGTTTCACACATTGCAATATTTTCTAATTTATAAAATTGCAATTTGTTAATTTCATGATAATCATTTTGATTTCTGGTGTAATCTATTCTAGAATATAAAATGTGACCATCTGTCCTAGTTTTACCTAAATGAAATCTTCCTGTCAACTACTGGGAACAATGTTACCAAGTTGCTAATATTTTGATCTTTTCTTTTTTTTTTTTTTTTTTTTTAAAGAATAAAGCCTACTCAGAATTTTATAGATATTTTGTTCAGTTGTATTGGTGTATCAACTCTGTTATTTAATGCCGAGAATATATATACAAATAAAAAATGTACAGGTACCTCCAATCAGTATTGATACTGTGGTTTAAAATGAATTTTTATAAATGAAAGTTATTTTTAGCTTTAATTGAAAACTAAATGATTAAATTTACTATTTCCAGTAAGGAAAATACCCTGGTGTATTCCAATTATATTGGTTGGGATCTTGACTTTTGGGTAGCTTTCAAGAAAATTTTAAATTGCCATCACACATTTGTAAACAATTTAATTCTCAGTTTTAAAACCTTCCAAAAATAAAATATATATTTGTGACATTATTTGAGGAAAATTAGCAAATTTAAGCTGATTTGAAACAAACATTACAGCATAAGACTTAGTATACAAGCATTTCTTAAACACAGTTTTTTTTTGTTTTTTTTTTTATGTGCTAATTGATTTGTTGACTAAGTATGGTTGATCAGAATTGACAAATTTATGAAATATAAGAAGGCTTTTGGGGTTTTTAACTACCTAGTAATTTTTAAGTTTGAAGATGCTTTCTGAAAACATAAGATTTGAAATACTATAAAAAACACTAATCATAAATGTTGACTGCTAATGCAAAAAAAAAAATAGGGTTTTTAACAAATTTTGAATGTGTTAGAAAGGGTTAAAGTTTAATAAAATAACACTGGCCTTTCCTCTTAACGCAAACATTTTGACAATAAAACTTTGGGGCTTTTCCATTCTATGCTGTTTTTTGTTATCTTTTTTCTTTTCTCAGTTGAAGTGTCTCTCTCTCTCTCTCTCTCTCTCTCTATATATATATATATATATATATATATATATATATATATATTATATATATAATATTAGTGGTAAATATACATACATATGCAAAATATATAAATACCCATGTATATTTTTTTTGAATAAAAATTCCAAGAGGAAGAATCCAGCTAGAACTCAATGTCCAGGACAGAGTAAGGATATAATATATATATATATATGGCTTGTAAACAATATCTTGGTGTCATTGGTTATGCCTCTAAAAGAGTTTTGTGCTATAATTTGTTATAGACCAACCTCCTTCAATTAATGCTAAATTAGTCTCTTGAAAAGCTAGACTAGTCATATCAAAAAATGATTGACATATAGGAAGGGTTATTACAATCAATGTTTTACATTATATGCATTTAATTAGGTCACTTTTTTTTTTTTTTTCTTTGTAATGAAGGGTGTAGGTGTATCCTATTCTGATTCTTGATAGGACAACTTCCAAAAAAGGATGCCATTCTAGAATGGGTTTAATTTTGTAAAGTTTGGTTGTAGTGTAGTTTTTGCCACTTTTTTTAGAATGAATTTTAGGTATTCATTTAAAGAAAATGTTTGTCTACCTTGTTTTAGTTTTTAATTATTATAAACAATGTTATTTAATATCTTTCCTCTCTATAATTTACTATACAAACCTCTAAATTAATATTTTGTACTCCCCCCCCCCAAATATAGGTTGACAGTCATTTCTATAAACTCTATAGTCTATTACAGGGGTTTCAAATTTGACAGGGATAAAATACTCGCTAACCCACAAAAATGGCCATATATAAGTCTTAGACAACTTTACATGTTAGAAGCAAAGGGAAGTAACTTATTGAATTTGCATTTTAGAATTATATCAGCATAATTTGCATTAACAATTGAAATCATTGTTAAAATCACAGAAGGAACTAGAATGAAGATTGTGGAAATATCTGAATATGAGCCAGAGAAAAATAACTATAAAACTTTGAATATCAAGATATGAAATTTCACAAGTTCTATAGAAGTTTCAAAAGAGTAGAGATGTATCGGATCAATCAAAATCTGTTTATCCTATAAACTGATTAGAACATCAAAAATGATTGAAAGAATGAATATAACCTATCTAATTTGGTGCCAATAGATGCCATTAAAAGCATTCTATTAAAAAAATGCATTGACGAGATAGGGTATATAGCTGTTGAACAACAAAAACTTGAAGCTCAGATTAAAGTGGTGAAAGATGTATGAAATGTAGGATATTGGAATAAAATTGTACTTAATGATGAAAAAAAAAAAATTGAATTGTCATTCTAACAAGATAATTTGTTAGAAGACAAAGGAAAAAGAAATGACCACCTGCTTTGCTCCAAAAATAGTAAAGTTTGAAAGTCAAAGTATAATGCTTTGGGGATAAATAAAAATAGGTACCTCCATGAGATCGCTAAAAAAAAAAAAAAGAGCATAGCATGATGAAAAAAAATTTTATCGTTTAAATGTTTATGCTATTATTAAGAGGAAAGATCAAAGTTTATTTTAATTATTTAAAAATTTTTTTCCTTTTTTTTTTTTTTTTTTAGAACATTCTAATTTTTCATTTAAAAATCCTTGTTTCTCTTTGTATCACTGGAACTAGTAAAATAACATACAATTTTTGGCACGTTTTTTTGTTTGAAACATTAATTTGGAAAATCTTGCAAAAATAAAAAAAAATAATTGTCGGATGTTAACGAAACTTTCAGAAACTATTCACAGATGATCGAAATTATTATAAATATGTTTTTTATTCTTTTTTTTTTTTTTTTAGTCATGGCAGAAATATTTTTTTTTTTTTTATATTTATTACACCCTCTCCCCCCCCCCCAACTAATTTTATGAAAACTAGAAATTCGGTCGAGTCCACTTTAGTAATTACAATAGTTAAAAGCACAAGTCTTTGAGGAATGCAAATCGTTTTTTTTTTTTTTTTTTTTTAATTGGAACCTACCTGAAAATCAGCTCTGAATTGTAATATGTAACAAAGATATTATTCAATTTCAAATGCTTTTAGTTGTTTTTATGAATATGGACAATATTTTCTGAAAGCAAAAAATTTTTCTGATAAAAAATGAATTTTTAACACATTTATTTGTTATTTCTTTAATTATAATAGATTTTACATTTAAGTTGTTAAA